TATATATATATATATGATATGTAATACATATATTTCATGAATGTTTATCAGACATTTGATGGACTTAATTTGGACATCCCATGAATATTCCAATATCTAAAAGTGAATGTCCAATGGATGTTCTCATGCTATTTGGGGAGAAAGTAATAGCGATAAAAAATACTGTTAAAAACTCACTCTGCTAAACCACCCTCCATGTTGAGATCAACACCTGGATTCATGAACTGTTCGGTTTCTGAAAATGCCGGCTGGGCCATGTACAACATGAACTGATAGCTTCCTATATATACAATTGCAGAAAATGCCATTAGACTCTGTAACGATAACATACTGTTAAGGAATTTCGTAGTTATATTGGTATCTTTGGTAGGTTCATTTGCATGCTCCAACGGGTTCATTGAAATAAGTAGGAGCTACAGTAGGAACATGTTGGAGCAAGCGACATGAATAAATCTCATTAGACATGAGATTCAACTTACTATCGTCAACGCGTTGAATTCGTGCAACATCATTGTTATGAAGATGTATATTCCCATTGTGCCTAAGGCCATGTAGTTGTAAAAACTCAGCGTAGAGACATTCTCTTCCATTATTTGCTTTGCTCCTTTGGTCGATACCTTACCTTTCTTTGTCTATACAGGAGTACGTTCAGGAATTACGTCCAGCTAACATTAGGCTATGATTACGTTACATATACTCAGGATTGGGAATGTTATTTCATAAAAATAACGCGATAGTGCTACTTTTTAAAAAAAATAATTTAATTGTTATCGTTATTCGTTACTAATTTTATAAAGTAACGCATTATCATTACCTTACTTATAAAAACTCATCTTTTTCATTACTTCGTTACTTTATAACGCCGTTTATATTTTATCGATACTTTGATATAATAACAATTTGATATAACGTTGCGAATTTTTTATGACGCTAATACGGCAATATCCGAGTTGGAAAATTTTACTTATAGTAAATTCGAAAAGTCACTCTTTACTGAAAAAAGTAACTTCGTATTTGTAACTACACATTTATAAACGTATTCAAAAAAAGATCCAAATGCCGCTCGACGGTCGATCGCAGGGCGGTGAGGTGAGGGGGATAGCGGAGGCTATTCGAAAATCGGCCGAAAGTTGCATACACTTTATGTATGTTTAATTCGAACTGACATCTTTAATTATTATAAAATATTTTTAGCTAATTAAAAATAATATATTCCATTAAATAGTTATAAAGATAATAAGGAATTTTGAAGAGAAGAATTAATGTAGTGATAAAAGTAACGGTTGAATTTGTTACTATTACTATAAAAATGTAACATCATTATTGTTATTATTACAGACTGAAAAAAGTAACAATTGTTACAACAAAAATAACGAAAACAAAAAAATAAAGGAATCACAAACGACGCATTATTTCCCAATCCTGCATATACTATAACAAAAGTATACATCGGAGTAATATAAGATTAACATAGCTTATAACATCCGACGTATGACATATATCTGGGCTGCATTCAGAATTTTATCATCTGAGTGCACCCAGATGTCGTGTTATCCTTGTTAAACAACAAGGATAAAACAACATCTAGGTGCATCCAGACAACGATTCGCTGAATACACCCCTGATATTTAATAGCAGGGCTTGTATTCTAGAGATTCTAGATAATGATATTTTTGTAGTATATGATGATGTTGTACGAAAAAGTTTGTTAAAACTTTTTTATCTGACAACATACAATGCATTGTAAATAAGACATAAATTGTAAATCAACAATTCTATATTTGATAAATATTAGAAATATGTCTTATTCATAGAAACAAATGTTTGATATTAATAACTTATTGTAAAAAGCCTCGACAAAAATGAAATAAAATAAATATATCAAAGAATATGGTTGGAAGAACCAATATATGGTCACTATTGCAACTCTACAAACTATCTTTGGATTATGAATAGTAACGATTTGAAAATCTAATGGTTACTATTCATAATTTAATTATTATATACTTTCGCCAATTATTACTCTACTGAGTTACAAATCTTACACAGTGCGAACAACTTTAAAGCAATATGAGATACTCGGATGCGAATGTACTTTGTCGCTTGACAATATTAGTACACGCAAGGGAATATTCATAATACGAGTAGTCTATAATAATCAGAATATCCTTATTATAAGGATCGGTTAATTAAGAATAAACATTTATTTTACGAGAAAAACGTGAAATATAAACTCACTATCATCTTATTTGTTCTTCCTATCGAAAAAATTGAGAATATTCAAAAATATTATCTTCTTCACTGATTTTGATGAAATTTGACTCATTCGATGTGTTTTTGCATGAAATAAACAAAGTTAATAGAATAAAGCGTCGTTAAGCCTTATGGACTGAAATATTAGTCGTTAAAATTGATTCAGGTTAGGAAATACATATGTCACAGCCACGAAATACTACAAACGAAGCGAGCATGCGCTATGGTCACATTATTTTCAGTATTTTCAAATTCGTCCACCGAATGAGCATACCCTTGTATTTCTACCATGAAGGAAGATATAAGGAGACTCCACTCGGTCTCGCCAGTCTACAAGATATGAACCCATTTTAGGTTTCGAGTTCAGCTTCCGATTCTGATGAGTGCGAGTAAGAGAAATGATCATTTCTCTTACTCGCACTCATCAGAATCGGAAGCTGAACTCGAAACCTAAAATGGGTCCACTTTTATTTTACGGAGTGGAGTCTCCTTATATCTTACTTCCTGATTTCTACCATGGTCGTACTGCCCTCTCCATTAGGGTATATTCACACAAATTTGCATAGCTGTTTAACTGTGCATAAAGAAAATTATCCAATCACATTTTACGTGTGTCTTTATAAGAGAAATGCGATTGAATAAATTTCTTTATGCATATGTTTATGCAGCTATGAAAGTTTGTTGCTTAAAAATCGTATCATTTAAGCAAAATCCTGTTTTCTGATTGGTTGCAGAGTCATTGTACGATGCACATTTTGAATGCAGTGTAAATCCTGCAAATTTACTAATTGACCAATCCTAATCGTGTATTCGACCCCTTCCCTTTACTACTTGACTATGATTGGTCGATTCGCTTATTGGTTCGATTCTCGATACATCGAATCATAACCTGACATCATTAAATCCTACTGTGCTTTTGGAGTCATTTGGAGTGATTTGGAGTTTATGTGTGTACACGCGTAAAAATGTTTGTTTATAGTTGATAATTGTTTTAATAACGCTAAACATGATGGATTATGAATTTAAAATGAAGACACAAAAAGACCGCACGAAGGTTGAGGATCTGTTCGAGTTTGAAGGTTGCAAAGTAGGAAGAGGTACATACGGGCACGTATATAAAGCTCGTAGGAAAGAAGGGTTAGTTTCCTTAACCTAATTTCTGATTATTTTGTGAAACTTCATTATATGTTTAGATTATTGTACATTGAACAGTTCAATTATTCTGTTTCCTTAGATTAATCTCAGATAAAAAAAGATATTGATTTGTTATAAAGGTTTCTGAATTTACATTGTGTGGAGCCATATTTCTTTCTATATAAAAGCATATGCTGTGCCTCATTCTATCAATCATCTTCTATTCATTTCCTAAATACAAGAAAGCGTATTTATTCGCTATTGAAGTTTGCATTTAGCGTTTAATGTGATTATCTAATTCTTGATTTAGCTTGTTCCATTTGTTTAATACATTGATTAATTAAAGTGTTAAGTCAGGTTGATAATGAGTCAGTAGTTTGTTTTTTGTAACTGTTGAGTCAGAAATAAGTCTGAAGAATAATTGATGATTCAGGATTTATTAAGATCAATAATATATAGAGGTTTGGCCAGCAGTCAATTTCTAAGAGGTTTTCTGTAACAAGCCATTAGTAATGAATCAGAAATTAGAAGATAGAAGTTGATCAATCACAGTTAAATATAAAAAAAACAGTTGATTGTGTGATTGCCCAACTTCTAGTGCTTTTAACTTCTAATTTATTATAATATTTATGACTTGTAGAGAACCTCTAATGAAGGTATTTTACAATAAATTATTGCTTAAGTTTTAAATATGAAGACCTTGGCACATAAGTCACTAGGTTCACAACTCTTTTTTAAGAAGCTCTAAGCCATAACGCCAAAAGAAATTGAACAATCACAGTTGGTTATTTTGTTTACATTCAGTTGTGATTTGTTAATTTCTTAAGGCTTATGGACCTTCTATATAATAAGCCATAAGTCATAAATAAGAAGTACAAAACTAAAAATTGACGACTGTAATTGGTCCATTTCTAGCTTATAACTTTTAATTTATGACCTGTGGCTTTTTGTAGAAGGCCCATTACCTCGGATCTACAATAGGTATTTTAAGCCTTATGCCATGAGAAATTAACTATCGATTATTCTCCTCGAATTTGATTGTGATTAGTAAATTTCTTATGATTTGACACTTAAAACTTAAGTAATGGCTTATTGTAAAAGGTCCATGATTGATTCACTGATAAGACTTAGGACTACCGACTCATTGCAGAATCAGCATAATGGGCCTTCTGCAATAAGCCATTACTTAAGTTTTAAGTGTTAAATCATAAGAAATTTACCAATTACAATCTTATTGTAATTTCTTATGACTTTAATACTTAAAACTAAGGTAATGGCTTATTGTAGAAGGCCTATAAGACTTAAATTTTTCTATATGCCATGGCCTTTAAGCCGTAAGAATTGACTAATTACAATCGAATGTGAGAAGAATAATCAACTGTGATTTGTCCATTTTTTATAGTTTAAGGCTTAAACATTTATTGTAGATCAGGACTAATTGGTTAATTCTTACAACTACAATTATGTTTATGTAATTGTAGAGAGATCACGTTTTAAACTTAGAAAATTACTTATTGTAGAAAGCTTATAAGACTACTGACTGTCGGTTTATTGTAGATCTGATTTCCATTAAGAATAAATGAATAATGTAAATCTTTAGATTCACATTATTTTGTTGACATATTCCTTTACATAATCTTTTTTTCTTTATTTTGAAAAATTTGAACAATAATTATCTCTTTACATATGATATTTGCGTATATCAATTAAATATTAACATATCAAATTGGAATATGTATTGGTTAAATCTTACTATAATTTTTTTAAAAAAATATCTTGTTGTGTATACATTTAATATTTATATGTTAGGAATAGTGTTTCAGATAGCGAACTAAAGTCCCGGCCTGATACAAAAGATTTTGGCCTTAAGCAAATTGAAGGTACAGGACTTTCGATGTCAGCATGTCGAGAAATTGCTGTGAGTTATCTCATTATTCTGAAATAATGCAAAAATATTTGTTTCTAAGTATAATTGAGATATTTCACTTATTTTCTTCTATTCTAGTTACTCAGGGAACTGAAGCATGTTAATGTCATTACTCTAATTCGTGTTTTTCTATCACATAATGATCGTAAAGTTTGGTTGTTGTTTGACTTTGCTGAACATGATTTATGGGTATGTGTTTATAATTATAATTTAAAAATAAAATATTTTTAGGCATTATACAACAAATTTTTATAGTAATATTTAAATATGTATTTACAGCATATAATTAAATTTCATAGAGCGGCAAAAGCCAATAAAAAACCGGTAATGGTACCTAAAGGCATGGTTAAATCCTTATTATATCAAATTTTAGATGGTATTCATTATTTGCACTCCAATTGGGTACTTCATAGAGATTTGGTAATTATATTGATGATATAAATGTTTTTATTTTTTTATATTTATTACATTTGCAACTTTCGTAATAAAATTATATTTTTCTTTGTTTCAGAAACCGGCAAATATTTTAGTAATGGGTGAAGGAAATGAGCGGGGACGTGTAAAAATTGCTGATATGGGCTTTGCTAGATTGTTTAACGCTCCTCTTAAACCTTTAGCAGATTTAGATCCCGTTGTAGTTACATTTTGGTATAGAGCTCCAGAATTACTTTTAGGAGCCAGACATTACACAAAAGCTATAGGTCTGCTTATATTTATATTGTATAATATTATAATTTGTATAAAATTGTATTGAATATTTTATTTTATCACTGCAGATATATGGGCTATCGGCTGCATATTTGCAGAACTTTTAACGTCCGAACCTATATTTCATTGTAGACAAGAAGACATTAAGACGAGCAATCCATATCATCATGATCAATTAGATAGGTAAAAATATAACATGATTTTGTATTTATTTTGTATATGAAAAATATGACATAAGCTAATCTTTATTTAGGATATTTAATGTAATGGGATTTCCATTGGAGAAAGATTGGGAGGATATAAAAAAAATGCCAGAGCATCCTACATTACTAAGAGATTTTAAGAGATCCAAGTAAGTTTGTCAGTTGAAAGTATAAGTCATTCAGCATCAAAGGTTTTCAAAAATATCTTAGAAATATTTCAACTGAAAAATGAAACATTTCATAAAAGTTACGTCTGCAACATTTCTGAGACATAACTAATACGAAAATAATAACGTTAAATTGAATCATGATTGATTAAAAAATGATTTTTAGTAAACATTTTGGAGTCATTTTAACATAATGATTTTTGTTCTATTTGAGTATGTTTTTCGATTTATTGCATATGATAGATTTTAGAAACATTTGTATTGAAGCATTTTATGTGACACATATTGCAAAATCTTTTCAAGCACATTCACTGCACATGAAATGTGAATAGTTGAAACATTTCTGAAAATTTTCCATAACAATTGGTATTGTATGAGAATTCTGTCAGTGTTTTATTCGAAAACTTTAAATTGATTCTTTCACTTTTAGTTATGCAAACTGTTCACTCACTAAGTATATGGACAGGCATAAGATCAAACCCGATAGCAAGGCATTTAACTTGGTAAGAGCGATAAACAATAAGTATACAAATTTTGTAATATGCCATTTTATCATATTATTATTTAGTTACAGAAACTATTAATGATGGATCCAAACAAACGTATTACGTCAGAACATTCTATGCAGGATGCCTACTTCCAGGAGGAGCCACTGCCAACACAAGAGTATGAATTTATTTCTATATTTTTTCATCATGATAATTTTTTTGTAATAATCTCAATTGCATTTAATATGAAAATTTTATATAGCATATTTGCTGGGTGCCCTATTCCTTATCCTAAGAGAGAATTTCTTACGGATGACGATACTGAAGAAAAGACTGAAAATAAAGCGAGACAAAATCAGCAACAAACGGTAATTACTTCCGAAATATATTAAGAACATTTATATGATATATTTTATATGGTTTAAGCCGCAACTACTATAATAAAATAATCGCAACTACTTTAATACAGACATAGTTTGTAATATTCAAATAAGTATCTATTTATAATTGTGTATCTTCTACATTTTTAAAAAATATGGTTTCGATTGTTCAAACGGCCCCATATGACTGCCGCAGTGGCAAGGCGAGTGAAGCCCACTTTGCCGCTGTCTAAGCTCCGTCGCTATATGGTAGTTGAGGATTGAACTGATTTTTTGAACATCGCCTTGTCGCTCATCCGAGTATTCGTGAAACAGCAACAGCAGACTCAACAGCAGCAAGGTAACGGCGATCATAATCATGGGCAGAACGCAAAACGGGTGAGACTGAACGGACCGCATGGTGCTCCTGAGTTCCATCAGCATCAGAGCCACGCGATGACCCACCAACAACCGGGAATGGTTTATTCGACAGCCCAACCTACACAACCGTCGAACTTCCATCAACGTTTCTAATTTTGTAATTCGTAATTAGATTGATCATACGAAGTTAGGCCAAAACTTAAATTATCACTAATGCATTAATTTAATTTACTAATTCTGTCAACAAGAAGTCATTAGTCCATGTATATTCGTTCATGCGTGCGTGCAAAAAGGATGCTCGTGTACTTAATATGCGTAACATTTTTTGTCCTATTTCCGTTTTTACCTCCGTTGCCATCTATCCTTTGTTTCATATCAATTGTCTAATTTCTACCGAAATCTTCAATTTGGTTTTACTTCGGTACAGGGTACGTATTACAGAATTATTTCAATTGGAATCCAATCGGTATTTAATTATTTCTTAAATTTCTGTTGTGTATTCCAGAGAAAATGGATAATTCCGATCGAAATCCGATTTATACTATGATAGACTCTCAGTATGCTGTTTTCATTAAAAGTAGTGACCTTGTGGATTGAAGCGGGAATAAAATGAGTGCAATCAAATGCATGGATTTCGTTGCATCACTCTGGATCCTTATGCAGACAACAGCGCTTTGACACCGAGAGCTGATCGGTGAATAATTGATTATGGAGGTAAATGAATTCTGCACGATTTATAGGGACGGAATCATCGCGGTCAAATTGCTCCATTTTGAAATATGTAGTTGTGTGATTCTATTATAAAGAAATGTTTCCTTTGCTACATTTTCATGGAATCAATAGATAAATAAAGAGCTCTGAAGAATGTGTGTCTGCCATATCTTTTCAAAATAACTTGTGATTATTTCTTTTATATAGAATAGTAGAGAGAAACTAAGAGGACATAAGTTTTTACGTCTAATCTCAAAATACCTTGTGCACTATCGCTTTCTGAAGAAGTGAATGTCAACTTTATAACAATATCCACTTTTTTATGGCCTGTACTCCTGATGAAAATAAATCGCTGAAATCGTTAAAATATTTATTAATATTTGATAAAAATTTTAGTTATTTCAGAAATTTATTTTCATCAGAAGTCTATAAAAAAGGATGATATTGTTGTATAATTTATATCCACTTCTTCAGAGTTCAGAGGTCAGTAGTGTGCAGCAATATTTTGCGGTTACAGGGAAAGCCCTCATGTATTCTCTCAAGTTTCTCTCTGGAAATAAGTACGTAAATATTCTTGAGTGCATGCGTGTACAAATCTTAACCTATCAGAAATCGGATACATTGGTATACATAGTTTCTGATAGGCTAAAATTTCTTATTCCTTATTCCTTCTATTGTGGCTGCAATCATCTTTATATGATGATTCTATGGGTGCGTTCAGCGGACTCAACAGTTGAGTGAGTGCTCGCTGTTATTGGTGCATTCTTCCAGATCTAAAATTCTGATTAAATGATTTAAAAGAATACACCAATAAAAGCGAGCACTCACTTAACTGTTGAGTCCGGTGAAAGCACCCTATGAAAATGCAAAGAAAACATTTGTTTAGAATCACACAAACTATATGTTTCAAATTTGAGCAATTTAATAGTATAACTTCTCCTATAAAACGTGTGGAGTTCCTTTATTTCTATAACCAATTTTTGATCAATCAGCGCTCGCTGTTGAAGCGCTGTTATCTATATGAAGATCCATAGGTGTGAATTAATACTTTAATGGAAAATAAAAGACTTGAAGGCCACGCATACATTTTCCATACCAGTAATCGCAAGATTTATCATAAGAATTAACCAATCACAGTTAAGAAATTTCAAAAACTTTCAGTTTTAATTGACTCTTATAATACGCATTATATTGCTGTTGGATAATGTATGCAGGTCCTTTCGAACTTACGGCACATACAAAAAAGTAAGGCAGTGAGACGTAAATAAAGTTGCGATTATGTATCTTTTTTTTAGAGCAGAAACATAAAAAATGAAAATTTGTATGTGCATGTATGTATATATATACACATATGTACCAATAAATTTACTTTTCATGTTCCACTCTAGGGAAAAAGTTACATGATTGCTACTTAAGTAAGAAAATCGCGTAATGCGTGAAATTGGTCTAAGAAATTGACTAATCACAATTGATTATTCTTTTCATATTCGATCGTGATTGGTTATTTTTTATTCTTACAATTTCATCTACTATTGGCACTGCCATTGTAGATCATGCATTATTATACGATCTCTACTGTGATTAACTAGTTTGTATATTGCTTACGTCTTACTGCCTTACATTTTAGGCCATGTTTCGATATGCACTGCCAGTACTGAAAATCTGTAATTCACGTTACGTATACTGTACGTTTTCAGTATCGACAGTGTATATTGGAACACGTCTTTGGTGTGTGCTATAAAGCATGAACTGCGGCATTCATATCTAAACGTATGAAGGAGTTTTTTAATTCATCCATTAATCAATTGCATTGTTCGCAAATGTAATTTTATTCCGGAAAAGTTGCATTTGCGCATAATGCGATTGATCAATCGATACATTATAAAAATGTAGTCTACAAAAATGAGAGAAAAAGGGAAGCGTAAAAACGGCCAATATCCATTCTCTTTCTAACATATTGTGATTGATTAAATAGAAAAGAAATAGATATTGACTGTCTAGCTGTCCTCTATCTCTCTTTTTTTTTTATCCATCGATTTGACGGCGCCGTCCATGCTCTGTCTTTGGTGGAAACTAGATCAGTAATATACGCATTTTTCCTTGAAAGATCTCCATATAAGAGCTCTAATGATGGTTACGAAGACGGGACAGATAGTACGACAGGCGAAAGCAAGGAACGAAAGAAGGACTTGATCATGCAAAGGAGAGGGAAAGTGATCGGACTTGAGAGTCGATTAAACGGTAGAAGGGATTCATCGCGCACGCGCGCGATGTGAGTCGCGCCGGTTGCGCGATCACGGACGTTGTGTCGTCGTTGCAGGCTCCTGTAACGCAGTTTACGCGAGTCGCTGCTCAACCAAAAAAAGTGCGTATACGCGTGCCTTTCGAGTCAAGCAATGTGCCGTCTGTTTACGAGTTGTCGCTGTTCCGATGAGTGAATAAAGCAGGTGAGGCGGTCCAATCGTTAATTTTATTTTATTTAGAGACTCTATAACAGCGTTTGGCCACGAGCAATTTTGTTGAAACAAAAATAAAAAAAATTATATATTGTCCTTTAATATATGCTATTTCATTCTAATTTATACTATTTTACTCATTCTCTAACTTGGTGAAGTTTATAAAAACGATGGGCTAATTAGAAGTTTGCCATCTTGTGACCGAATTCTGTTATAACGTCTCTAATCTTGTATACATTTGTATGATGAAGTAGGATCGTTTCTTTTATTAATTGATTATTATATAAATATATAAGGACATTTTAAAAATCTAGAAACATTGTAGGATATATTTCGAAGTAAATCTCAAAAAAAAAAAAAAAGCAAATCCTAATAGCAGAGATTATACAAATAATTATTTAATTAATTGCTTAAAATGTTAGTGTTGTATGGATATTTATCGCATGTGAATATAATTATTATATCGAAATATAATAGTAAGAATATAATATCTAGGATTTTTTAAATTACCATTTTGTTATGAAATTCTTAAACTTTAAAATAATTTTTAATTTTTTCTAAATGTTATAGAACTATAGTAAAACAGCTTGTTTTTTCCTTTTACATACAATATGTTCTCTTATGATTTAAGAACCCATCAGAAATATTCAAGAAAATTGAGAAAAGCATGGGATATGTACTCGTATTTATGTATGTTAGTCCCTCGTCTTATGTCTTAGAAGAAATATAAGTATTTTCTTAATAATAATAAAAAAAACTGATAAATTTTTTGTCAAAGTTTGTGAACTATTTTCAATAGTAATTATAGTTACTAAACACATCTGTAATTTGTACATTCACACTCTTCTCGCGTTTGTTCAGCGCTTTGTTTCTTCATGTTTGAACACAGTTTTTTCGTAATTTGAGTAAATAGGGCACAACATTATTGATACATATCTTGAATTGAAACCAATACTACAAAATTACGCAAACATACCTGTAATCGATTGTATTCACTTAATACTACAAGTGCTTCTTTGACGAAACAGAAAAAAATTTACGAATTGACCAATCAAAAAATGTTTCAAAGCATTTACAGTGTGAAGCATTCATATCTGAATATGAGAAAAATATTTGATTGTGATTGATTAATATAACTACAGCTTTACAGATTTTTTATAACTACAGCTACTTACAACTATATATGCTTACGCAATTATAGAATGGACTTAAGGCGCTTGTGTGAGTATAGTCATTACAGCTCATCTATTTTTACGAATATTTTACTATAAAGCAATCTTATTATTTTGTTTTATCCAAATTGTCTTTATTTATAAATGGCACACATATTAAAAACGTGTTATTTTCTCGTTTCTGACGTCACGATTCAATATGGCTGTGGTGACTACTCCGAGGTCTTAAAAATAACAGAAGAGTATTAAAAGAAGAAGAAATATGCTATGGCGATTCGATCAACGTGTACGATTTTCAATTTCTCACCATGTATAGTGGCTATACAGGTGATGTGTCTCCCGCGCGTCAAGAATTTTCGCATTTCTCTCGCGACAAAAGAATAGTGTTTGTTAGAAAAGATTGTTAAAACTTAAATGCTCGTAACAGTGCTGTGGTTAAAATTTTACTAGGCGCGAAGTGATACTTTAAGTACTACTTAAGTACAATGCAGACATTTGTATTTGATCCGTGAGCAAAACTGTTTTATATTTCACACAATTTCGATTCAATGGAAGCATATATATTGTGCGCATGGTGTGTGTATGGTGTGTGTGTGTGGGGGGGGGGGGGGGAATTTCTTTTGAATTTTAGGAAAAAATGTTTCAGACAAAAGTTTTGTGACTTGGGGGGGGACATAAGATGATATCATTGGCTCAACCTTGGGTGGCATTGTCAAGGTTAAAGCAAGGTCACTTTGAATTTTTAAATGGAAACCCCATTTGCATTACATATTTCTTACAGTTTACCTCGAGCACTTTCCAAAACACTATAATAAAATTTTTTTTCATTAATACTTTTCGAGTTGTAAGACTTGAAAGTTACAGCATAACTGGCATTAGCATTATCTAAGGTGTATTATGCAGAGGTTGCCGGGTCGGATTTACGCTTCTTTTGTGATGTGTGTGCGCGTGCGCAGATATAAGGACCTCGAGATTCGTCATTTTTCCAGTATTTTACGACTCCAAACTCTCTCTGCTCACACACACACGCAGGGTATCCCAGAACTATTAATTAATATTTCAGGGAGTAAAAGAGGATGAAATTATGAATTAAAAGTTTCTTTGCTCCTTTTAGCTTAGACCATTATTTATCGAGTTATTAACGATTAAAATTGATCCATCAGATTGCGCGCCGTCAGAGTATGCAGGAGCATAACATGCCATGGGACCACTCGAGCTTGATATGCATTATTCCATGCGATACAAATTTTATTCTAACTTATCATATAAATAAATAAATAAAATAAAAAAATAAGTAAAATAAAATAAAAATCTAATATAAATTAAAATATCTATTTAAAACAAAATAACATAAAATTTGCTTAAAATAAAAATTAATAAATTCATACTTTTATATGCGGAATTGTTAAAGAAATCACATTACGTAAAAAAGATCACGCAATTTTAATTAAAAAAATGAAGCTAACCTTTTCATATCTTTTTGACGCCTCCATCTAGATAAAAAAACAACGTGATCAAAACGAACGATGAATTCTATGACTAAGTTTCCATAAAGGGTTTTAGAGTTGGATTAGAGTACAAAACCCGACCAACTACAGGCGAGATATTCCTATCTTACAGTCGTATGAGAGAGGAATGCTCGACTCGGTGAAAACTTAGTCTATGATGAACAAAATTGAAATTGTCATCCCTCTTGAACCCGTTTCACTTTCATTTAAAACATTTTTTCGTATCATCAAAAACAAGCGAGTTATTTAGATAACTTGTTTTAAATATTTAGATGTCTCATTCTGTATATACAGGGTAACCGGAATTTATATGTCAAAACTTCAGATAGAGGATCGATAGACTAAGAAAAAAAATCTTGTAGAGATATGCTCCTTTTTGCTTCGTTTAGAAGAAAATCACAAAAAAGACAAAACGTAGTTATCATTTTCGTACTTTTTTATTATTTATTTATGTTATATTTATTCACTTGCTTAATGTAAATATTGTTTAAAATATTGGCCTCTTGCAGGAATGCAAGCGTATCATCAATACGGACAGATTGACAAAGCTTTGCAGCCAATGTAAAATATAAGGTATGAATAGTCGAAAATGTTAAAATACTATTTACTACAGTTGTTGTCAATTCTATTCAGTTGAAAAACTTCAGAATGTTAATTATTTTTTCTTTGATTTTACAATTTTTTAGCTATTTCCATTCTACTCTCACTGATTTGTAACGTAAAACAATGTCAGCATATGACTTTCTTTTTTTTTTTATAAAATCTAATCGAAGAATGATACATACATATAATTCAACAAAAGACAAATGAAGGGCTAAGAGCAACTGGCTCTTAGCCCTTTATTTGTCTTTTGTTGTTTTATACATATAGAATCTTCTATTATACAAGGTGTCTCACAACTACCGCATTTTTTTTAAAAGATATATTTTTGAGATAATTTTATGATGAGAATTTTAATATAAAAATGTCGAGGCTATAATAGTTTTTAAATTAATCGCAATTAAATTTCGCTAATCAAGGAGCTGATATTTCGCGCGCTCATCAGGCATGATGATAGAGCGGATTGAGCGCGCGAAATATCAGCTCCTTGATTAGCGAAATTTAATTGCGATTAATTTAAAAACTATTATAGCCTCGACATTTTTATATTAAAATTCTCATCATAAAACTATCTCAAAAATACATCTTTTAAAAAATGCGGTAGTTGTGAGACACTCTGTATATTATTTTTATATATATAATTTTTCTAAATAATTTTTCGGAAAACTCTTACTTCGCAATTTCTATGTTTATCGATATGAACTGCAAAATCCGTTTTGTCGCGCTGCATCCGTTTACTTTAGGATCGCGGGATAAATCGTATCGAGATCGCGTCGATCATGCTTTTCTCGGTGTGACGTAGTCAGGGAACGACATTGGCGACAGCTGAAACCTTTTTTGTGAGTGAAAGGCGTGGGAGGGGAGGAGTGCAATGGAGTGTGAGCTCACGCAGAGATCGAACAAACTATGAAAGAGGATAGGTGGGAGGGAGGGATGTAGGGAAGGGGGCGGAGAGGAGAGGCGAGAAGAGACGAGGTCAACGATGCCCGATATGGTATTCTGCGACCGCCGTGAGTGTCATTTTACTTACACGTACGACACAGTGTTTGCACACTCATGTATATACAAGTGAAGGTCGATTGCGCCTTCTTATGTTGCCTACAATTAGCAATTATTGTCAAGTCGCCGTTAATGTATCGAATGCCATATATCCGTCTGAACAATGGCCACGAGTTTTTCTCTCCCCATGTCCTTTTTTTCTCCGAATGTCCTTACGTGAAAAGTGCGTATTTTTCGAAAAAAAAAAAATTATTTCGTTATCCATGACAACGCTTAATTCGTGCACCATTAATTTTAACCTTTCATTAGACTAATTAGACTATTTAAACATATTTTTTAGCAAGAGACACAGCGTAATTAAATAATTAAAGTAAATTATTACATCTTTGTTTGGCATTATTAAATAAAAAGAAATAATCACTGTATTACATTGGTCACGTTCAGCAGACTCAACTGTTACAGAACTGTTTTGTGAGCGCTCGTTGCTATTGGATGATTTAAAAGAATATGCCAATAACAGTGAGCGTTCACGGATTTGTTCCGCAACAGTTGAATCTGCTGAACGCAACCATTAGGCTAATTCTACAATGTGCTTTTTGTTTCCTATTTCTTGCTGTTTGTCTCTGTTTATCTCTTGATATTTTGATCAAGAAGGCAAGAGACAAACAGCAAGAAACAAAAAGCACATTGTAGAATTAGCCTTATGTCTCTTAATAGAAAGCACTATAAGGCTAATTATACAATGTTCTTTTTGTTTTCTGTTTCTTGCTATTTGTCTCTTGCCTTTTTTGATCAAGAGAAGACAAGAGACAAACATCAAGAAACAGGAAACAAAAAGCATATTGTAAAATTAGCGTAGGGCAATGATGCACAATCTTATTTACCTAAGGATCATTTTCAGAAATAGATAAAGCTTTGTGAGTCACATAATGTTTAATTTTGTTTACATAAAATAGAAAATATGATTTTATATTTCGGCCATTAGCCGGTGATCGTAAACATTTCATAGGTATGTATGCCTGCATGAAGTTTGCGGGCGGCAGTTGCTACAGGTTCATTGATTTATATCTAAAGGCTTGTATAGATAAGTCTCAAAACACGCAAAATATTATACATTTGCAACGTTTGTCGTAACAGTCAATTAACGTCAAAGGTACTACTCCTGATTAATTGTTGCGACAAGCGCTGTTATGGGTTATAAATGGTTATTTTTTGTAAACGATTATATGTTACTGTTATTTCAAAATAAGTAATTATTTAAACAGTTATCGGTTATATAAACAGTTTTATGGTTACTACTCATAATATCTTATTATGATATCCTAATAACAAAAGTTTAGATTATTTCTCATTATTTGCATTTAAAAATCTATTTTGAGGTATTTTAATATTTGAAAAATTTATATATGTGCTTAAACAAATAAATACAAAGTGTTAAAATTTAAGCTAAAAAATTAATGTGGATATATTTATTAATTAATAGCTCAAATTTATTTTTATTTTGCGTACATGCGTGTGTGTGTATAGGGGGGTGAGGGGGAGCCATATACTTATTATTAGTAATACTATAGAAATAATAAGAAATCAAATAAGTATTAAAAAACTGATAAATTCTGTAATAGTAATTAATACATATAATAATATTATATCATCCTAATCAAAATCAAAAAGTAAATAGAAAATGAAAAGTATACAATAAAACTTTTAAAAATAAAAAGAAAATTAGAGTTTAAGATCACTATTTCTACACACTAGTAAATATTTCGAAAACATCAATAGTGCTTCTACTGGAAAAAAAGATAAATAGTAAGAGATCTTAAACATTTATTATTTATTTTTTATTTATTTATAAAATATAAAATTTGATAAAAATAATCGTTTAATCCGTTAACTGTTATTTTCCAAAGGAGATAATCTAAAAATGATAAAAATTGACCCTAAATATAAGACACTTTTAAAACCTATGCGGTTGTCATTTTGAAAGTCCGTACATTCATGGAAAAAAAGCTTATTTCCTTAGGAAAGTTTCAAGTAAAGATAACGACTTTATCAATAGGCTATATTGTAACAAAAACAGCAGAGTGTCTCAAGATTATTTATTTTTGTTCTGTGTGCAGTGATTCTTATTATTCTAAAAGGAGACTAGACTACGAATTTTTATTTTGCGGGATTTTATTCGTTTGCAAGAGGGAGAACAGTTCAATTAGCAAGATTTCTGGCGGATTCATTGGATAACGTCGCCTGAGCAAAAAATAAATTAATCTGTTGCACACTCGGCGCACCTAGTTTCTTATACATTCGAGATCGTTCGTTGCCTTCTTAAGATGGGCAGTGGCCATAAACGCGTGCGTTTCTACGAGCAAGCGCACTTCAAGGCCGCGTAGCCATCAGTTGAGGAACGATACAAGCCGCGACACAGACTTTTGCGTAACGTATAGTACATAAGAGAATCAACTAATCTGAATCCTTCCTTTCCTTCCAATTGACGGAAAAGAAGAACTTTGATTGGTTGATTCTCTTACATACAGCAAAAGTCTGTGTCGCGGCTCTATGCCTCGCAGAAAGCTCTCCTACACATGTACGTGAGCCTGCTTAGCTTATGCAACAAACGCGGTAGCACGCGATGCATTCGCGTGAATCATCACTTGAATTTTTACCTGACTGCGTTTATATTCGGAATTGCAGCAGCCTGATGCCTTCAGCTAATCGAGATATCATGCACGTCTCGTTTCGTCTGGTTCGATCTGGTCTGATCCCAATTCATCGGATCTATGAAGTTAACACGATATTCTATCGTTATTAAAAAAATTACAACAGTTCCAGTAGCACTTTTCATAATTCTACAGTTCCTTGTAAAAATAAACAATAGTTCTGCATTTGTAATACTGAAAAATTAAAAATGAAAATATGTTATGCTAACTTTGAGAATCTAGCACACTTTCTCCTCTAAAGTACCAAAAAACGACAAATATTATCAATTTTGGCAACAGCTCCAATTAGTACTCTACTCGAGTTCTACTAAAATATATAGTATAAAAACAAAATTCCAACAATTACTAATAATTATAAAATTTAAATATAAGTACAACACGACACTTGGAGAAAAAGTTGTGTTGGTTGTGTAAAACTGGTATAAACAACCAGCACGTCACTTTTTCTCTAAGTGTAGAGTGCTGGACACAGAGATTAATTTGTATGAAAACAACGTCTTTATTTTAAAGGGACGTAATATAAACAATACAAATCTTATTGGATCGTACATGTAAAAACACAACTAATAAGAAATAGGAAATAAATTAATAAATTATTTAATAAAAGTCTACAAAAATCTACCGTTATATAAGTTTTTCAAAAAAAGGTTCCCGAAAATAGTTTTTACAGTTATTAAACTGGCTATGTGAAGTTGGCCCCCCCACTATTGCAAATCTAAAAATGACCATGACCATTCGTTTGGTGGTCGTTTGGTGGTGTTTAGTAGTCCATTCCGGACGTTTGGTAGTCAAAGATATAATGAGAAATGTCAAAAGAAGAAGAACGCGCGTGAAGTTAGCCCCCCCATTTCTAAAACTCGGCTTTGCAGACTGCAAATGCAATAATGACTGTAAGCATTCGTTTGGTGGTCGCTTACTGACGTTTGGTAGTCCATTCCCGATGATTGGTAGTCGAAATTATAGGCGGAAATATCAAAAAAAGGATACATGCGTGTGTTTGCCCCCCCCATCTTTAAAACTCGGCTTTGCAGAATGCAAATGCAATAATGGCTGTAAGCATTTGTTTGGTGGTCGTTTACTGACGTTTGGTAGTCCATTCCGGACGTTTGGTAGTCAAAGTTATAATGAGAAATGTCAAAAAAAGAAAAGACTTCCAAACGTCCGGAATGGACTACCAAACGTCAGTAAGCGACCACCAAACGAATGCTTACAGCCATTATTCCATTTGCAGTCTGCAAAGCCGAGTTTTAGATATGGGGGGGCTAAACTTCACGCGCGTTCTTCTTCTTTTGACATTTCTCATTATATCTTTGACTACCAAACGTCCGGAATGGACTACCAAACACCACCAAACGACCACCAAACGAATGGTAATGGTCATTTTTAGATTTGCAATAGTGGGGGGGCCAACTTCACATAGCCCCTATTAAACTTCCAAAGATAAAAGATCCCTTAAAATTATCTTCATAATATACATATATCAATAATTTTATTTTCATAAAACTATTGTTAATAATGTTTTTGAATTTTTCTGAAAGATTTTTTATATAAGGAATCGTGAACCACTTCTTTTTTTATTTCTTTTTTATATTGTTACAGATTGGAAGCGCAGCATTTACAGATACAGCCAATATGGATTCTCACGTTGGTCTTGATTACATTGTAGATAATCCCGAATATTGCGTCAAGCTCGCCTCAGGTAATTTGTCCAACAGTCACGATTCCATAATCTCAACAGATCATACTGCGTATTAACGCTTTTATGGTTGCGCTCGGGGAAACGCTATTAGCACTATAATATGTGACATTGTATCTTCATCGTTCATTAGACGTAAAACAAAGATAGAATGGCACAAATATAGTGTTAATAGTGTTTCTTCAATCACCCTATATTCTAGCGTTGGAGACAGCGTGTCCGTCCGTAAAGAAGCAAGTCGTGGAGCTGCTATCGGCGCTGTGTGTTTATAGCCAAGACGGCAGACAGAGAGCTATCGATACTCTTCATACGTATCAGGTGATTAATTGTTTCTGAAAGTATACATTATTTGTGAAAATATAATTTCTACCGCGTTGCACGTTTGGACAACGAGGCTATAATCAAATGCTAAAGTGGCATAGGATTTTAGAAAAAGCAGAAGAAATATAAGCCGCGTTATACAGTAATCGTGTGCCATGCTTAGGATAAAAGTTATGTTTGGTTCAAGAATATAAAATTAAAATAAGTTGAGATAATAATAAAAAATATACATTAATTGACGGGCAATTGGAAGCAATACTAGGTGCAGTTATATTCGTGAATATATAATTGACTAATGTAGGGGAGACCGAGGTTCCTTTTAGGTCATGGGGTATCATGGGTCATTGACTGTTTAGGGAAATTCCAGAATGTTTAGGTTGGTGCAATTCCCTGAGTTTGTATTGTTCCTTGAACTATGTAGTTCCTTGGTGGATGCAGCAGGTATTCTCCTGAAATCCTGGAAATTGAGTGGATATTAGATGTTTAAAAGTTTAATCTACTATCTCGGTGTAGTTTTCGTTTGAGAGTTTTAAATAACGTAAAGAATATCAAAATAACGGTTAATTGATTGAATACAATAGAAGACAAATAAGTACCTTAGTGATTTTATTGTTAAACGGTGACCTATACGTATGTTTAAACGTAGGAACGAAAGGGCGAACGCTATCGATTGCGAGTTGTGGTCGATGAGTTGCAGAAAGCAACGACCGAGGATTATCAGACGGCATTACTAGCGTTCATAAATTGTTTGGTCATATCGACACCGGTGCTCAAGGACCGCATACGTATTCGCAACGAGTTCATCGGTGAGTAAAAAAAAAAGAGCTGCAGCGCTTAAGTTCTTTTTGTGAATATCATTAAGGGGATACTGGAGTTGTCTATATTACTAATAAAACTAGCGTTTTTAACGTTTTTATTCCTGACATGAAATGTACAAGCGTCCGATACATTAGCATATATATTTTAATCATGAAAAAAAGTTTGTAAAACTACTATGAAGAAATTGAATATCTCCACTAATATGTGTATAGAACCTACAGTTTTTAACGACGAATCCGAACGATGATGAACAAAGATACTTTCGCAGGTTTTCCATTGCCTTCCGAGAGATGGCGATCAAATAAAATTTAACGTTTTGGGTGGATTTGAATCTTGGATTTTTGGCACAGAGAAAATAGTCATACTACGCTTGCAGCTATGATTGCAACTACAAATGAATGAGACAATTTAATATGAAATATTGTTCGAATGGTCATAATTTATTGTTTCGCATTAGCAACTTAATTTGAACAGTTTTTTTTACTATTTTCTTTGAAAAGTTTTTTGATTATTCTTTCTTCACATTTTACATCTTCTTTGCTTTCACATCCTTTCAAATCTTCGTACATGATATGCAAGATTTATGAAATCGAGCAGGTTGAATCCGTTATCACGTCGATCAGTTATAGTATTGACATATAACTATGATTTTTATTGCAGGTCTTAAGCTATTGCCGATCCTGAATGAACTGCGGTGAGTATCTGCGCCGATCCGTATTGATCGTAGCACTAGCTTACTAAGGTCAATGTCCCTATTTCTACATATGTAAGACAAATTGTACTAAAAACTGAGCTTTAAATTATTCTTTTACGTAACAAGAAGCAAAAAAAATGTGTTTACTTATCATATGCATTGTATATATTATACATTAAATACAAAAAATATCATTTTAAATATTTTTATTGTGAATAATTGTGACTTTTTTTTCTTTCTTCGTTTGTGTTTTCTTGCCATTTCTATTCTATTTTGGCACATTTGTAACTTAAACATGCCTAAAACTATATTGTTTTGTTTCGAGTTTGCGTTTTTATTGTAGTTCAACTAATATATTAATACATAATTAAAAAATATATAATTATAATAATGTATATAATTTGAAAATATAATGTAATATTAAGATGTAGATAACGCATGTTACGATACATTAGCGCGTGTAAAATTGGTCTTCCCATTTCTAAAACTCGGCTTTCCCGACTGTATATTCAAAAAAGGATATACACGCATTTGTCATTTTTTGACATTTTTCGTTATATCTTTAACTACTAAACATCCGAAATGGACTACCAAACACCACCAAATGAATAGTAATGGTCATTTTTAGATTTTTAATAGTTTTTTAAATAGGAGGGGGAGAGTAACTTTACGCAGCCGAAAGCGCGGTACATGTAAGATTTAAACATTTCAAATGTCCATGGATCAAGATGACGGCGATTGTTCTTGCAGGAAAAGTCATGTGTCAGATGTGAGGGTGCAGCTAGATGCCTTCGACGATCAACAAGAGGCCGATGAGGAGCTCACGAATCATGGACCGCCCGGGATTGATCTCTCCTCTCACGTGGACGTCTTTTACGCTATCCTTGGCCAAGTGAGCGATTTACGACGTTTTTCCTATTTCCCAGCTTTCGCTAATATTTGTAATAAATATTTGCATTTAACCTTGAACGTTTAACCTGTGTAGGGATGTAAATATATCAGAGGCTAATAAAATATAAATAAAATGTTGCTGAATGGAAAAGTTTCAAAATTAAAAAAAAATGCTATTTGTGATATATATGCTATTTGTGATATATATGCTATTTGTGATATATATGCTATTTGTGATAATGTTAAAATATTTGTATATAGAGAGATTAATACCGTATTATTGAAACATAGTTGCTTTATAATTGTTCTTTGCGAATATTTTAACATTAACATGTTACAGATAGAATTACATTTCTAAGAAAACTTAGAAAATTTTCAATTCGGCAACGTTTTAGAAAATTAATGATCTTTTGTTGTTAATCCGTTGCTTAATTCCTAATTTTGTTGTCCCACTCTTGACTCCTAAAATCACCCTTGGCTAATCTATCATAATACAACACTTCGAAACTGTAAATTATTTGGGTATCTCGGTATATTTCCCTGATTTTGTTGTTCACTATTTGCAATGATTACGATTTTGCTTCATCCTTTATCTCTAAAAACAGCCACTAGCAACACTACAACAGCACAACACCTTAAAACAGTAAATTGTCCCGAATATATCGATTGATAACATTTTCCCAATTTTGTTGCTCGCGATTTTTAATAAATCCAATTTTGTTGCTTTACCCTCAACCGTCGAAAAACTACCTCCAGTAATCCTACATTAGCACAACATCTAAAATCGGTAACTTAATTGCGTTTTTTTACTGATTACTTTTCACTAATTTTATTGCTTTATCTTTATCTACTTTATACCTTTACTTGCTCACTTTTCAAATCTCGAAAAGATCTTTAGCCACTTTACCAATACAATGCGTTAAAGCAATTAATTAATCAAACAACTCGATTGATTATGTTTCCTGGATTTGTTGCTTTACTTTTCATTCTTGAAAATCACTCCTAGCACATCCTACATCAGCACAACAATTTAAAACGCTAAATTAATTAAAGGTTTACATTGATTGAGTTTCTCTGATTTTTTGTTGCTCACAGTCTGCAGTAAATACTATTTTGTTGCTTTACCCTCAATCCTCAAAAAACACTGCTAACAAAAAAACCTGTAACACCATAATACTTCAAAATAGTGATTTTTTCGACTGATTACATTTCTTTGATTTTATTGCTTGCAATTTGCAATAAAATGTTATGTTATATTGAATCTAGCTCGAATCCATATGAAGTCTTAAATTTTTTCGTCATTCAGTTATAAGTATATAAAAGCTATATTCAATAGTTGTAATAGTGTATTAGAAGACTATTCAAAGCTCTCTAATTGAGACAAATGCGTCGAACACTGCACGTAAGAAATGCCTATAAAATATAGCACACTTTATAGGTCGCAGACACTCCACAAGAAATACCCTTTTTGAGTGTCTTGCAGCATCTGCTGCGATTAGATCCGAAAGATGCCGCCAGTGATTTAGCATGGGACATCGCAGAAACCTTAGTACACCGAGCCACATTGCTGGAGAATCGCGAGGACGCCACTAAGTTATTGAGATCGCCTAGTCTTCAAGTAAATGTCCGCATTTTTTTCTTTGTTTTTCAAAAAAAAAGGAGAAAAAAATTCGCGAATTTATTTTACAAAATATAGGGATCGTGTTTTACGCAATGTTTTTCTAATTACTTTTGAGAATTATATTAGCGTGATTATACAAGGAAGATTATACACAATTCTTCTTTGTAAGCAAAAGTCGATAAAACTACAGACTATCCATTTTTCTTGGACTTTCGCTAATTACGAATCGTAATTTACGACGCAATCAACATCGACATATCTGTTGATGGAGTGAAATACTGTGACGTGCATCATATCAGATCTTAAATTTTGCGATCCTATTCGTAGGGATCGTCGTCAATGTCAACCGTGCTAACATAAGCTAATGTAACACCCGTCATGTACTTTTATTTTCTAATTGTATTTAATTGAAAAATGCGAATTCATAAAAGAAGAAATCCGTACGCGCTTCGTGTCAATGAATTGCAAAGACTTATTCGTATTCCTTTCATTAGTCATGTGACTTTTTAAAACAAAAGATTTACTAAAATATAATTTCAAAAATAGTTTTCATATTTTTTTATTCCTCTGGCATATGTACAGGTACTTATAAAAATATACTTCTTATCACATAAAATATGTCTTTGTATAGTAAACTATAGAATAAATAAATATATCCAATAATTTAACGATATTTGCGAAATTCGTGCAGACGAATTTATGCTGTCACTGTCGCGGCGCCGATCAGATATGCGGAACATCGCGAAAAACATCGCTGTCAGCGAGCAACAATTCACCAGTACCCTTACCGCCACCGCTGCCACCTCCGATTCCGGTGACGCTAAGTTCATCAACTTTGCCGAGCGATAGCAGTTTTGTCTTGCCACCGCCGCCTCCGCCGCTGCTTTTCGTCAATGTTGCCACGTCTGATGCATCAATGGAGCCACTGATGACGCCATCCCTATACGTGCCTCCTGTTACATGTGCACCTACTCCCGAGCTACCTAGTAATCACACCAAATTGCTGCCGCAACAAGAAATTCCTACCCCTAAAACGAAGATGAAGACTATTAACTGGAACAAGATACCTAATCATAAGGTATCCAAGAAAAGACTTAAATGAAATAACTGAAATTAAGATATAATAAATCTATAAAAATCATTTTCTTTAAGGTTGTTCTTGAATTAAATAAAAAATTTTTAATTATATAAAAAAGATTCTTATATAAATTAAAGAGAGGAAATAATGAAAAATTATTCTCGAATTTTTTTTATTCTTTATTTTTAATTTTAAATTTATTATCGAAACAATATCGAATTTTTTTTTATTTTCAAATCGTCTTAGGCAGTCTTATTCTTAGATAACCAAAAATTAACTATTGATTAATATATATATTGACAAACAATTTGATAATATCGACGATAATAAACATTTTATAAAAGGATAACATTTCTGAGGCTTTCACGGATACTTTTTTCAAAGATTCCAAAAAGTTTGCTGGTTATTGCTATATTTTTATTTATTGCTAATGTCAACGTTTTGTGAACCTTGTCGAGAACTTTATCAGGGCGAAGAGTAGCGTGTTGCACAATGAATAAAAACACGGCAATAACCTGCGAACTTTTTAGTGTCTTATAGAAGAATATTTTTAAATAATTTTAAGTAATAATTTTAACTAATAAGCATTTTAAAAACTGAATAATTTATTATGAAGAATATTACTTCAGCCGCGATTCGTACACCCGGATCTTTCGAATTTCATTCAGACGTCATCTCAATTTAACCACTGAGGCTGCAGTAATATTTATCGCAATATCTAGTAATTAGTGAAAGAATGTTGTAAGTATTTAGATCTAGCTTTTAAATATAAAAATATTTCAGTGTTGGAAGTATGCTTTTTTTAAACAATAGATAAAAGAAGACAATAGATGATAACACATATTAAATCAATGCTCAGAATTACGGAACCGTGGACAAAATTACGAATCCTATTCTGAGAACACAAAATATAAAAAAATCCGGTTTTTAAATTAGATGTTTTAAAATTGTACACTACTAGAATATATGTGTTACATATTAATAAGATAATTCGAAAAAGATACAATATTTTTAAAATCTAAATTAAAGATGGAGATAATACGTATTCTAATAATCTGGATAAAGATAAGATGAAACCATTTCTTCATCTGTATAATTATCAAGATAATTTTTTAAACATGAGTAACCATTGATCGTAGGTGATTGGCAAACGGAACATTTGGTCCCTCGTCGCGAACGATCATCAAAATTCCACGATGGCAGATCTAGACTGGGCCGAGATGGAAGGTTTGTTCTGTCAACAAGCACCACCAATAGTACTATCAGCGAATTACTCGACCTCGTGCGGCACCGGAGTCGATGTTGAACGACGTCGTCGTGAACCGACGGAGGTTACTCTTTTTTTAACGTTATTTAGCTATACAGTAAAGAATAATGAGTCTCATACATACTATACGTTAGACTTTTAATTGTTTTCTTTTTAGATCGCGTTACTCGACGGAAAGAGGAGCTTGAACGTTAGCATTTTTCTGAAACAATTTAGAAGGTATGATCAGAGGAAACCCTATCAAAGAGTTACGTGTCATTCTATCTTTAGAATTATTAACCGTGAGACAAGGATAAAATGACACAAATAATGCTAATGGCATTTTTGAACGCAACCAAGGATGATAAAATATTAACAAAAATGTTCTGCATAAGAAAATGATTACCATTAAAAATTGATAGAAGCCTTATAGTATTTTATTTCATTATATATAATATATATATCACTGGTCAACAAGATTTCGGTAACATTAGTAAAATCTATATTTTATGTTCCTCTGGTAATTTTCTTTTTCATGTCTGATATTCAAAACATTGTAGCACGTCATTCTTCTATGTCGAAAAGCTTATTTAAAAAAAATCTAAATATAACGAATTTTTCTCGTAAATCTTGTATAAATGCAAATAAATTTTATTATAGATATTATTGGCCGTTTTATATTATGAAATCACAAATTAAAATCATTTACAAAAACTTTGATAAAACTTAAAGTTCACATTTTGATTGTCAAATAAAGATCAGAATTTAAGTAAAATTTGTTTGTTTGTGTTGTATATGTTATGTATTTTTCCTCGCATGATTGAAAGGAAAAAAAAGAGAAAATTTTCGAACTATCTTGTAACGTAAAAATTAAAAAAGAAAATAAAGCAGATAATTATAAAAGATAATCGTGATAAATATTTTAATAGCAGAAAAAATGTACGTACTATAGTGTTTTTATTGATATTTTTATATTCAATGAACAAAAAGAATTAAGAATTACTTTTTTGGCTTTTATTTCGGTTGTTACAAAATATTTCATTTATTGTTATTATCCGCACATTCTTTATTTAGTTCGAACGAGAACATAATCCAACTGATCAAGGAAGGAGGTCACGATGATATCGGCGCAGAGAAACTGCGCGGTTTGTTGAAAATATTGCCAGAAGTAGACGAACTTGAGATGCTTAAGAGCTTCGATGGCGACAAATCAAAGCTTGGCAACGCTGAGAAGTTCTTTCTGCAACTTATGCAAGTGCCAAAGTAATACTTTGTTGTGTATATTTAAAAAGAAAGTTTAATACCTTTTCTATTAAATTAAAAATGAAATAATGATACTATCCATATGTTAGTTATAAATTACGTATCGAGTGTATGCTACTGAAAGAAGAATTCGCCGCGAATATAAGTTACTTGGAGCTAAGCATCAGTTCAATGATACTTGCCGGTGAAGATCTCACGACGAATAAACTTTTGCATGAAGTGTTATATATGGTTCTAGTCGCTGGTAATTTCCTCAACTCAGTACGTATTTGTTGTCAAACAATTGAATTCTGAATAGTGTGTCAATATGAGTAAATGAAAAACATTTATCGCTTTTACAGGGCGGCTATGCTGGCAGTGCGGCAGGTGTGAAGCTCTCCTCTTTACAGAAGCTAACGGAAATTCGTGCAAATAAGCCCGGAATGAATCTGATACACTATGTAGCGTTGGTAAAACGTTGATTATTTAATTATAAGAATTTTATTTGAGTAAAATACACATATATTATATACTATACAGTAATTATGCGTTTCGCGAGTTATCTTCGTGTCCAAATCCATATATATTCTTAGAATGTCAACGTTTCGTAGATATTGCAGTTCATTTCATCAGTATCAGGTCTGATATCAATATCAGACTGTTTCTAGTCTGAATATAGTGAATTGTAATGTTTACAAAATGTTGACATTCTAAGAATGGATACAAAGAGAATCCGCGAAACGTACAATTTCTATACAAAAAGTGTTCGTGAAAACTTTTAGAGTATTATATTGTATACTATTTTAAAACTGAGGAGAAAGTGTATTCTGTTAATTAAAATTATGTATATTTTAGCAAGCCGAAAGAAAGCGGAAGAATTTACTAAGCTTTGTAAAGAATATAACTGCCCTTGAAGCCGCGACAAAGTAAGGATTACTATACAGTTGTATTATTATATAATGATCATATATATAAAAGAGAAACGTTCTCACAGTAGATTTTTTTTTCTATAAGGACGTCGATTGAACAACTGACCAACGAATTTAATAGCTTGGATACAAAGATAATAAAAATTAAGAGTCAGCTGCAGTTTTTTTCGACCGAAAACGATATACAGGAACAGATGGCACAATTTCTTCAAGTAACGAATATAACATTTAATGTTATATATATATATATATAT